TATTTGCGTTTTGTTTTTGTTACATTATCGAATATGCCAGCTCATACAGCTTAGGCCTACTATAACGGGCCTTTAGTCTCTGGCCCATTTTTAGAACCGGTTTTTTTTAACTCAAATTCAGATTTTCTTCTTAAACCATCCGGTTATTAGATCATTTCCCGGTTCAGTTTCTAGGTTTATACACTTCCTCGATCAAAGCATATATCATCATCGTCTACCTTCGAACGGAGAATCTCAAAGCTAAGTTCTCGCTTTATTGACGTGAGGGAATTACTAACCTCAGGCGTTTTCAATTCGGTATGTATATGGGGATTTGGGGTTTTCTATTGTGAAAATTCTATGCTTATTGGTATAAACTATTTGTGAATTTGGTTGGATTCTCATGCGATTCAGATGTTCTTGTCTCTTTTGGTTTTGGGTGCAATTTTATCCATTTTGGTGAAGTTTAGGACTCTGAAGTGCGTTTATGGTTCTTCTTGATTGTCTAGAGGAGTTATTTTAGAGTCAATTTGATCAATTTTGGTGAAGTTTTTGTTGTATTGGTTCTTTTGCAGAGTTTCTTAAAACTCTTAAAGCTTTTGTTTTTAATGTTGGAACTGGTTCTCTTACCTAATACACTACCCAAATCGAGTTCTTACATAATTGAATACTGATAATGAATCTCTCACTGGTTAGATTTTCTGGAGAAATTTAGGTTCTTTGCTTTTCCCTGTATACAAGTCTTTTTTGTTATGAGTCGAAGTGTGTATCTTTAGCCCTTATCTTGACTCCTTCTCTTCCTTTTTGGCATTGCTTATCAGATTCCTGCATTCATGTTAATGTATCCTTTATACTGATTTGCTTCTAAGCAGGCTTTGTACAATAAAGGGTTAGTTTTCCAATCTTGCAATGGTATCGAAATCTCAAGTCCTCAGCCTCTGCCGTTCCCTGCTTCGAACGGGACGTCAGTATAATGATTACAACATCAGATCGTATGTAAAGCGAAGGACCTTGGATGGGTTCCGCATGAACAAGAGTCTCACTGACCCATCAAAGGTGAATGAGGCTTATGCTGAAGGTAAAGCACAGCTCGAAGTTGCAGAGAGGGTCCTCAAGGTTTATTTGGCATATCCTCCCAAGACCAAGAACATCATGGAACTCAAGCTTCAGTAAATGTATCATCATGTATGTTGTCATTTTCAGTATCCTCAAAAGCTATTTGTTATATTGGTCATGTTGGAACCACTTTTTATTGATTGGTTTTTGAGTTTTGATTGAAAATATGATTGATGAACTAATGGTGGGATTATAAATTCACCTATTTCATAGTTCTTATAAGCTATGGAAACATTGCTTTGTGTCACTTCTCATCAATTATTTGTGTCTTTTGGCTTCAGACATTATCAAGTGAAGAAGTAGACATTATGAGAGAAATCTTTTGGATCAGAGCAGAGATAGAGTAAAGGGAATGAAGAGAGCGTGACTTTTTGATTGTTCTTAATAAGCTCACACGATTCTGCAGATGTTGCATACTAATGTTCCCAACTTTTCTGAAATCGCTGTACTCTTATGTCGTCGTATCTTCAACACTGTAATGTTAGGTTATAAACCTGTGATTCAAACACATGTTATTTATCTATTTTCATAAGTTCTGGATGAAAAACAACAGCAAAATTGCTTGTGTTTTGCACAATAAGTTTTTCGGTTATTTTTGGAATAAGATCAAATTACAAACGCATGCAGAAACGTATATCACATGTTATGAACCTTATATGAGTTTTAAGCAACAAGTTCACAACAAAAATTCAAACAAGAGAGGAAGGATTGTAATGAACTTATGACTCTGTTCATCTACTTCCCGAGCAAACGGCGTCCGCGTTGGTTTGATTGTTGCACTCTGTAGTTGAGCTCGTCGACGTCATCATGAAGATGATCAAGTCCTTTGTTCTGCTTTTCGATTTCGCTTCCCATGTCAACTGCCATGTTCTTTAGCTCGCCGAGTATATCACTCAAATCTGAAAGCCCATCGTCTTGCTTAGCTTTTTCCATCTGTAGTAAACGAGTATAATTTAGCAGGATTACGGGAAAAAAAGATAATTTTTTTACTCAAATATCAAAGAAGCCAGCTTTCGATGTTCATCAATGTCTCGATATCATGTGAGTATAGTAATGTTCCTTTGAAAGGAAAAAAGGAGAAAGGGAAGAGAAGTACTAACCTCCACTCTCTGATAGGCATCAGCTGATTCAGGGAGCGGTTCTCGGGTTCTTGATTGTGCTTTTGGTGCTGGGCTCAGTCCCAATTTCTCCCTTTTCTCTAAGTGGTTTACTCTTCTCGTCGGTGAGTGATCTACGCCAAACACACAGAATGGATGAGATTAGGTAAAAGCAATATAGCTGCAAGAATAATAGAGGAATCAATGATCAAAAAGCAAACCTCTGGTTATGACGGGACCATTTATAGCATGAGTCTTCTTTGGCTTCCAAGTCTTTGAAAACATGCCTCCAAGGCTTCCAAGAAGCTTCTCACCCTGAAAACCAAAGCCAAATAGTTCAGCATCATAATCAATAAACTATGTCTCCTATCTTTCTTATCTCGCACCACCAAACACCAACCAACTAATCATCCTTAATATGTTGAAAAAGATTGAATTTTCCATTGCTAGTCAGGAAACAAGAAAGAAGGAAAACTTACTCGACTGAGATCATGATCGATTTCAACAGCTTTATTGTGTGTCCTCGTGATTTGCTCGCCCTGTTCGTGCAACATGACCAAAGTTCTGGTAGCATCTGACCTTATATCTTCTGCTACCTTGAGACAACCATGTACAGATTTGGTCGTTTCTTCAGCCTTGTACACAGCATAATCCTCAAGCTCCTGAACAGACTGGTTTTCAACACCTCCTGAATCGCGGAAATCGTTCTTGTACTGGTATCTTGAGTTTGAATTCAACGGCTGTTTCGATGATGAACTATATCCTTTCTCAAGCTCCTCACCACCAAAAGGGTTGGTCATATCAGCCAAAGCGGGTTCAGAGGCAGTTCTCTTGGAGGGGTTAAGGGTGTTGCGTTTGTAGTCCGATTCATCATCTGAATCAAACGGATTCGGCTTGGAAGACTTGTGAAATCCAGGATCAGCTGAGTTTTGCTTGGGAAGCTTTGCAGGTGATTTTCTCAAACCAAACATTTTGTTTATCTCAGAAGTATATCACAGAACTTGTTGCTTCAGACTAACAAACAGTTGGATTGCTAACAAATAAACCTTTCCTGCAGAAACCAAACAGTAATCAGGATTCACGGTGTGATTCTAACTTCTAAGTTAAGAGAATCAAGAAAGATAAAAAAACTGTTTTTTAACTTTAAAGTTGATCAAATGAAAGACATGACATATAAGTTAAGATAAAGAAGAAACAGCAACAAATTGAGAACCGTAAGATGCAATGATTTCACCCTCTAAGAACAGCTTAACACGGCAATTGAACACAACACCAGAAAAAACCTTCCTTTTAGATAATCATCAAGTTTAAACCTAATTAAAGGGAAAAAGAGGCTACTGAAAATTAATCGAGCAGATTGCGCAGGCATATTATGAAGTGGGTAAAGTAACAAAAGTAAGCAAAATTTCCATAGAAGAATCCAAAGACTATGAAACAACAAACAATCGGTTCCAAAACCCAGGATCTACCAGACGGAATCCGAACTCGAGAACAAAGGAACTGAGAATTTACCCCCAAAAAAAAAAAGATAGAGAGCAGATCGGGACTAACCTAGAAGAGCGAAGGGATTTCGAGAAGAAGAAGATGAAGATTAGGTTACTTAATGAATTGTAGAAAAGGGACCAAATCAATGC